TTCTCCAGCATTTCCTGTTTTTCATTCAAATTCCTAGAATCCATACTATTTTGCTTTCATTGTAATATCTTCAATCTTGGAATAGGTTCAATGGACTGAATAGCTTGTTCTTGCTCATTATACAGCACTTACCTGTTTTAATGTTCTGTTGTTTGACTCACAAAGACACCATTGCAGTCAGATTCCTCAACATAAAAAAATGGTTGTATTGTTAAGATATTAGTATCATGGTCTCAACATTTGTTGTATTTGGTGTTCTATTTTCTTTCAGCAAATTCTATTAAAATTGAAACTCCGAGTGATGAAGAGAATGGGAGAACCTGTGACACAAATGGTGAAGAGTGTGCTGAAGACTTACGCATGATAGATACTTCTGTGACAAAATTGAACGGACCACACAATGGCCAAGGCAACAAAGCATTTACTGGAGTTGGTGGCATTCGACTTCCAAATGGCAAGCTGAAGTGTGATATCTGTGGAATAATTTGCATTGGCCCAAATGTCCTCATGGTGCACAAACGTAGCCACACTGGTAAAAACAGGCACCGCTTTTTTCTGTTTTTTACCTTCATCATTTAATTTGGATTTTATTATGCCACGTTTTTGCATGCCATTTCCATGAAGAAAATCGTAACTGGAGTAGTGAAATGCTTCACATTTAAAATGAGAATGTGATGCAGATATTAAACTGAAAGCCTGAAATGCATTTTTAATAAGTTTTCTTTTTTTTTCTTGTTCATTGCCATTTTTTTTATGAAGAACCACTGAAAAGCCACATTAAAAACCAAAATGCCACAACATTTAGAATTCAAATCTGTTTATTCTGAAACTGCTGATCAGGAAGAGTAGCTGTTAACACACAATGATGCAGGCACTCTATTTAAATGAGTTTGAATCTTCATTGTGATGTGCCATTTTGATTTAAAAAAAAATTAGATTTTTCAGATCAAATTGACCCAGCCATTGAAGCGTTGAGAAACTGGCAGGTTTAGTCTGAATGCCTCATGTTATATCAAGCCTACAGCTGGCAGAAATTAGAAAATAGTAACAGAGATACATCTTTTTCTGAAATTCCATGCTTAATATCCTGTTTTTTTTTTTGCTAACAAATATACTCTGCCTTGCAGGGGAGCGCCCCTTCCAATGCAATCAGTGTGGTGCATCTTTTACTCAGAAAGGCAATCTACTTCGCCACATTAAGTTGCACTCTGGTGAGAAGCCATTCAAGTGCCATCTTTGCAACTATGCTTGTCGCCGTAGAGATGCACTGACAGGTCATCTGCGGACTCATTCTGGTGGGTATATACTTTGACAATGTGTACTCCGTGTTAGTCACCAATTGATCATTAAACAACAGATTCATAAAATAATAACATAAACATCACCGGTGTTAAACGTCATAGGTTTTAAGAAGGCATTACCTTCCATTCAAACAGCAGTGAGAGAAATGTCACATAAACAGGCATCTACAAATGGCAACACAGTGTCTCAGTGGCTAGTGCTGCTGCCTCACAGCGCCAGGAACCCAGGTTCCCTGGGTGCACTGTCTGTGTGCAGTTTGCACATTCGCCTCCAGGTGCCCTGATTTCCTCCCACAGTCCAAAGCTGTGCAGATTAGGTGGAACGGCTATGCCAAATTGCCCCATTGAGTCCAGGGATGTGCATTTTAGGTGGGTTAGCCATGGTAAAAAAAAAACCCCTGTGAGGTTACGGAGATGGGGTGCTGGTGGTAGGCCGGGATGAACTTCAGACAGTCGGTACAGACTCAATCAGCCGAATGGCCTCTTTCCACACAGCAGGGATTTGTATGATTTTGAAAATAAAACTAACCATAAGTGTAAGCTTATTAGGTATTTATTGGGTGTGATTGTTATTTATGTAATTAGTTTTATTTTGGTTGCCTCCAATGTTCATGGCCATTCAATTAGATCTGTCGTAGGTCTGCTATGGATAACGCAGTTGAAATCAGGTAGTTCAACAAAAACAACAACCTTGAGCCTAAGAGCTTCCTGATCTTTGTGACTCTGTTTTATAGGCAGCTTTGCACTTACTGACTGAGCACTTAAAAAAGAGACTTCCAAAAATGCAGGTTTAATACTATTTTATATTTAAGAATTCAATGGAGTGGTCGTATCAGTTATATTTACTCAATTCAATAAACATAAACATAAACATAAAAGCCCAGTAATTATCTGTACATTCTAAATTTGGAACTTGAAAGGGAACACTGCTAGATTAAAGTTGCAGGTGGAGTACAGTGTCTGAAATGTGAAAGATGTACAATACAGTAGCTCCCATCGTATGTGATAAGTTGATGAATATGGTATTTAATATGTGTTGTGACATTGAAAATGATAAGTGATACCAAAGGATGTTTAGAGGAATACAGTAGTTTTCTGACCATTTGAGAAACTTTGCAGTAGGTTTAGAAGAGGTAGGTATTGAGAATTAGTGAGATAGGTATAACCTTTCTTATTGTTGTGTTAAGTAGGTAGCACTTGGAAAGGTTATGACATTTAAGTCAAGAAGTATTATGGAGCATGGATTAGGATTGTTTGCAGTTGGGAAGTTAAAAGTTTGGATGGTGAGTTTTTGGTTTGGAGAGGCAAACTGTATTTAGAGTAAATGTAGTTAGAAGATGGACATTGGTAGAGTGATTTGTTTCCTCAGTTAGTTCTTCATAAATGGGTGAAACATGTGCGCTGCTAGCGTCAATAGGACCAGATGTAGATGGATTGTAAATCATGACCCCTGCACCCACAATTCATTTTTAGCCCATCAACTAGTCATTTACTCCTTACGAAATCTTCCTGGGTTCAGAAAAATTATTACATTTTCCTGTAAAACAACAGTAATTTCTCTGCAAAATGTATTCACTAGGATAGGAAATAGTCTACAAAGATGTTGTTTTCCTTTTTAAAGAAGTAATGTAGCACCCTAGTTATGTTGTACACTTAGAGCATTTTGCAGTGGTTCAAGACATATGTGACAGTTCCGTCAACTCTTTCAGATACTGTAACTGTCATTGGCAGTCAGTGTTAGTGATCAGTGTTCTGTGCACATTTGTGAGTCTGCATACATTGAGCTTTACCTTATTCTACTAAACAGTGCTATAAGTGAACCAGATAACTAAACATGCAGTCACTGCACAAGTCGAAATAGCCTATTTTTCAGTTGCTGAATTATGGATGCAATATTGATATCAAGTTACTAAAGGACTTGAACTGGCTTAACCTTGTCAATGTTCTAGTTTCAATTGAGATATTTGGTTTCCATTCTGATTTTTCTTAAATACATGTAATTGATGGGATTTCATAGCCCCTGAGTATTATTCGATCTCTGTCCTCGTCCAGTCATCAGCCGCTAAATTTCAATAAATTCAGTATAATTTGTAGGTAACATTTTCAGTTCATTTTTGTGAAAACACAGATTAAGGGATGCAGAAAACAGTGGGGGAGTAGGGGTGCTAAGCAGATTTACTGTGTGCTGTGGACAGATCAATATTTTTCATTGATGTTAATGAACTTAATGATCGCTGGTCTGATTAATTCTTGGTTAATTTTTTGATCTAGCTCGCGCTCACAAAGGTGGTTAACAAATTCAAGCATATAACATAGAAGTTATTTCTGGTAATTCAGTACAATTAAATACTGCGTTTTTAGCTTTAAAACATTTAAATTAAAATTCAAGCTCTCAAAAGGTAGTGTTTGTACGACCATTTCACTTTCTTTCCCATATTTTCTCTACTTCAACTCTAATTTGTATAATGCTCTCACCATGTTAACAAATACTCTGGATTATTTCTTCTTCATATTTATGCTTCAACACTTTTTATACTATTAACAACAACTTATATTGATGTAGCACATTTAATGTAAGAAATGATACCACAGATCCTTGCAGGTTCAGATGAGGCAAATTTGACACCAAGCATAAGGCGGCATTTTAAATCAGATGACCAAAAGCTTAGTCAAATACGCTTTTAAAAACTTCTTAAAGGAGAAGAGGGAGGAAAAGAGGCAGAGAGGTTGGGGAGGGGATTCTAGAATTTAGTACTCTAGACAGCTGAAGGCATTTCCACCAATGGTGAAACAGATAAAATTGTTGATATTTGAGATGCCAGATTTAAAGAGGCACAGGTACCTCAGTTAACAAGGTGCAGA